TCTGCAGATTACATCATTGTCCAGTATTGTACTGTCAGCAATTTATTATAAAAAACGTTTTCCTAATTGTAACATACATATTTACATACATAATTATTCAGATGCGAAACTTGCGAAAACTTGAGGCTACAGCAGCACTTCTTCTTCGTCGTCGTCGTCTTGTCTGATGCACTCAGCCCACGACCTCGCCCCTTCCGACCCCTCAACCATTCGAATTTTCGTAGGCGGGAATTATTTTAATGATATTCTAATGGGCCGCTTTGTGATTTCACAAAACCCGGAAAACAAATGCTGTAGTCCAAACGAGCCGTTCGTTGTAGTTCTTGAAAAGGAATTTTTAAAAAACAAAATATCTCCCTTTAGAGTGAACTTTGAGATTTGTAAGTTTGAAGATCTTTTTTATGCCCAAACATACACACTACACACTGACTAAAATTCAAAAAGTGAAAAAGCATAATAGGACCCCTTTAAATGTCCTTGATGCCATTTCTACTGAGAAATAAGCAACAGTGTAGTTTACATAAGAAAATCTATTCTATTCTAAGCACAATAATGTTTCCTTCATAATTGACCCCTAAGAGAACATATATGCCAATAAAGGGGTATTCAAATACGTCTGTGTGTGCTTACAGAATGTATGAAAACAGTACAGTTAAAGTGACTAACTGGGAGGTTTCCTACGTGACATGACCTCATCCGTATCAGAATTTAGAGTCTTATCGCTAAGAGAGAAGCTCTCAGGCTCTCCTGCGCATTTCTGAGATGCCGTGGAACTTTCTGATGGGTGGGGGGCAAACAGGGCTTCTGTCCAGGTGTCCCTATTGCTGCACTCCACCCCAAATGCTTCCTGAACCTCATCCTACTCCCTTTCTAAGCCCTACACCAGACTTCCCTGCTTTCTGCTTTCCCTCTTTTTCCAGTTGCCGTGCTCTCCCTCTCTTTCTGTCCTGGCTGTCCTCCAAAACTCAGTGGAAACTCTGATTGGAGTTGTGTAGGGTCATGCCTGGCCTTCCTTCCTATCGTCTCACTATTCTTCAGCCTGTATGATTGTCTCCAGAAGGGAAAAGAGGGTCGGTACACAATGTTTTTCACAACAGATGTTCTTGTCCCCTTGTGTCATTTAAAAAAAGCTTGCATCCACACTACACATTGCATACAGCAATTCATATTACAAGCTGAGCAGAATTACCTTAATGATGTTTGCAACACTGTATAATCTTTTAAAAGACAAATTACAGAAACTATTAAAAAAGTTCAGGCTCACTGTACTTCTAAACCCCTTCATACTGACCAATGCAAAGCCATAGACAAATGGCTGAAGGTGTCCTGTTGCACATTTTAAGTAGTGTTTTTTTTCCCACAGGGATTTTAATTTGGCCAGGATACTGGCTATTAGAGACATTTCAGAGTACCAGAGACTGTGACTTTTCTTTTTTCATTTTCATTTGAAGTACTTCATTAGATTCATGTAATTTGCTACTAAGCTATGGACCTCACCCTGAAGCTTTTACCCTTTTCTAAAAGGCATTTTGATAATCTTAAGACCTTCTGAAAGGCATTAGTATGATGTTATGTAGAAACTATTAAAGATATCTCCCACAAACACATGACTGCTCTATGTATCATCAGCATTCTTACACTCCAGTTGTCTAGACAACCAAATACAAATCTTGTAGGCAGCAATTTCAGCACTGACTTTTACCATTGAAACCATTTTACAATAATAACATTTATTAATTCTGAGCAGCAGAACTGGCAGAACTGTGTATAGTATAGGCAATCATATGTGGTGTGAAAATAATGCTGTATGTGGACCGAAAAATTTATTAGATCTTTTTCATTTTTTCTTGTGCAGGAGGAAAATGAAATCCCTTCAAGTGTCTTTGTGAAGGAACCTGCACCATTACTTGAAGTGGAGGAGGATGCCAACCGTTCTCAAGAGGAGGGCCTTCAGACCATCACCCTCTCCTCGGATGAGGAGCAGGGACCAGAAGAGGATGAAGATGAAATTTTGGCCATTTTGGACCTCGAGAGTGAAAGCAGAGTTGAAAAATCTCGAGCTGAGAAGATCAAGAGCTCCAGCCTGAAGAAAGTGGACAGCCTGAAGAAAGCTTTCTCCAGGCAGAATATTGAGAAGAAGATGAACAAGTTCAGCACCAAGATTGTCTCCCCAGAGCAGCGTGAGAAAATCAAGAAGAGTCTGACACCGAACCACCAGAAGAACCCTAGTGCCAAGAGCTCCTCTTTCAAGGTCTCTCCTCTCACCTTTAACATCAAGAAGAACCGCAGTGAGGACGCCGACCCAGAGGCTGAGGCCTCAGTTCAATCTGAGAGCGCCGTTGCCTCCATTGAACTGGCCCCCATTGAGAGACCAACTGAAGACCTGTCCTTCAGAGAGGTCCACTCCCAACTTGCACCAGCAAAGGAGGAAGTAAAAGCAGCTGTGGAAGCAATGGAGAAAGAGGAGGTGCCTAACATCCTGAATGGCACAGCTGAGGTTGAGCTGTCCATCACAGAAGATGTAAGCGAGGAGTATGCTCTTTCTGCGACCCTGCCCCAGGACGCCTCCAAGAAAGAAGTGTCCCACAATGCTTTACAGGGAGAGGATGAAGAGGAAGGAGAGGAGGAAGAGGGAAAAGAAAGTGAAGACAGCCCTCTAGCAGAAGCTGCAGGCCAAGCAGAGGGTGTTGCTGTAGGACAAGCATCCTAATGTCCTGACCCTCCATTCCAGCCCCAGGACACCCTCCTAAGCTGAGAAAACACTCTGTCCCTTATCAGTACCAGTCATCCCCGCCATGAACCCAGACATCTGCCCTGTCCTCAAAAAATACACTTACAATGCAGTCTATTCAAAAGGCAAAATTCATGAACTATATGACATTTGCTTTAAAATCCCATATCACTGTAGTTAGTCCCTAGTCTTTTAGCAGAAATGAATGCGAAAGCAGTTTTATCTGTCCATCTAATCCAACAGGCTGTTACAAACCTTCCACTTGTGAGAAACCATTCCAGCTGGTATTACTGCACACTCTATCTTCCTCTGGTGGTGCCTACCTGTCAGCTGAGAAGGTTGGCAAAGGAAAACAAATCGCTTACAGCCAAAGGAGTCAACGGTCGCCAAGTGCATTCCATCTATCCCATGGACACTTTTTTTAACAGTAGCCTGGTTTTCATCCAATGCATCTCTTCTGGAACAGCCTGTGCACAGCTGAAAGTGATATTGATTTCACGCAACCTAGATTATTTCCAATCTTGGTCCAATTCGGTTTTGTTTTTGAGATTAAACAGCACATATCTACTGCCATGTACTATGACTGTGTTTAACAAAAATGTGTAATGTACTCAATTTTACATTTTGGTTTTAACCAAGTCACACTATGTATACTGTGAACTCATTAATACAGAGACCAAAAGATGTGAGAAAGCTAGTTGGGAAGAGTTTTGTCCTAAACTATACTAAAAATATAATTTCTGAATTCTAGAATTTTGCTTTGTAGTGGCTAATAAACATTTAGATAACCTTTTTCTTTCCTGAGAACACACCATGCTCACATACATTTGCTTTGAATCATGAATGCAGTTTACATGGGGGATCCTGGTCTTCCCTGAGCTTCACATATGTCTCGGACCATAGTCAGAAAGCATTCCTGCTTTTGATATACGGCTCTTGTCAGAGACCATTTCTCAAGCTCCCGTTGGCATGATGCTGGCTGAGAAACAGGCACTGTGAGGCCAGTTTAGATTACAGGCATATTTCTGAAAGTGATGAAGGATTCGATCAGCCCAACCGAATGCAAATAAGCCAGAGAAGTGTGGAGATCTGAAAAAGTACAAAAAAAGTGATAATCTGTTTGGAGTGTTGAACTGATGTTTCGAAATACCATGGGCAAATACCCATTTCAAAATTTTAGAATAAATCCAATTTACTGATATTTGTGCACACTTTGGCAAAATTTGTCGCTATAATGCAAACCCAGAAATAAAATGGTGCTGTTGAGGGACAGCACTGAAAAATATTTGAGCAATGAAAGTACTTTTTCCTAAAAGTTTGGTCCTTATTAGAATATAAAACATACAAGTAACATATGTATGTCAAATGTATTTTTGTGTTTTAATAGAAATTTTGTTGCTTTCTGCAAATAATTAGAGCATATTTTTAATTTCAGTATTCCAGTGCTGAACAAAAACTTAAGTGTGTATCTTTGCTTCGGGTGGATGTCTTTTTCAGATGTGAAAAGGCATGAGGTTTTACGTCTTTAAAAATATAACAAATTTTAACAAATTTTTGCTTATGCTTGTGTAATCCCTAATCTTTATTTGCATATCTTTTAAAAAGTTAATTGCGTCAGTGTCTTCATAATATATATGAGAGCTATATGTTGTCTTGGTTATCATATTTTAAAAACATTATGATTCATGCCAAAGAAAAGGCTCAGTTACAGCAGAGACCTCATAACGTTTCTGTGACACCTGTTTACCAAGTTGTTATTGAAGCACACTTTGTTCAAAATATTCTTTTAATGCAAATAAATAAAGATGTTGGACCATGGCTTTTTGTGTCTGTCTTGTTCCTTAGAATCGTTAGTATCCTTTTCAAAGTCATTTTTTTAAAGCAATCCGTTTTCATCTGACAGAAATAGACTCTAACCTACTTTGATCAATACGTTTTCATGCCCAGCCAATTCTAAGTACATCAATATATAAGTGTCTAATTTGAACATGACATGAGTAATTAGGTGGTGTTAAAGGGGTCATATGATGCTATTTTAAAGATCATTATTTTGTGTATTTGGTGTAACAGAATATGTTGACATGCTTTAATGTTCAAAAAACACATTATTTTTCAAATACTGCACATTATTGTAGGTCCTCTATGCCCCGCCTCTCTCAAACACGTCGTTTTCAACAAAGCCCCCTCCTTTGACAAGTGCAGTCTGCTCTGATTGGCCAGTTGACCCAGTGCATTAGTCCATAAAATGCGTTACACAAATTTGAATATCTGTGTTGTGCTGTTCTGTTGTAAATAAATCTTAACCAATGATTCCTAATTGCATCTACTTCCGGAAGGCCAAATAAAGTGCTTTTGCTTTCGAACTGAAACACACACCGTCTCCCTGACATGGCTGCATCAACACTACTGCTGTTCCTGAAACCACGCCTTCTTTTTTTGCGTGAACATTTGGGCGGCGTTATGCAAATCTTCCCACATAGTGACGTAGACATGTGGGGGCGTGTTAGAACGAGGCATTTTAGGTAGGCGTGGTTGACTCTTAACTTTTATAAAGAATATCTCTTTGGATTTGAGACTTTAGTCTTTGCAACTTTACAGATCTTCTTTATGCACCAAGAGCTTGTAACACTCCAGAGAGAAAGGAAAATTTGAAATCGCATCATATGACCCCTTTAAAAACACATCAGTAATAGTGGTCGACGATATATCTCCAAATATTTTTCAAATATCGGCCGATAAGTTTTCCTGTTTGGCGATGCGTTCTTTTATTTTGACGGAGCTGAGAACGGCAGCGCCTGGGCACACAGTTCTCACATTCTCCCTCTTGTTCACTGTTGTCGTTAACAGTTCTGTCTAAATATGGATAAAAGTCTGTCTAATAATCAGAAAGAATGGTTAAACAAAGGAATTAAAATGTATACAAAAAGTCTTATAACGACTGCTTTTATATTATTAGTAATAGAAAGGCAAACATTATAATACTTTTTTGTTTGCCGTCAGCATTCAGCAAACACGCATTTATATCATTTAAACAAATCTTTGAATGTCTAATAAACATCCAATTTCAAAAACCTTGCAAACTTAGTCGGATCCAGTTGTGAGATCTTGTGAAGTGTGCATGGGTATCCTGCATGATCGCGTGTTCATTGTGTGACGATTGGTCCGTGCGAATTGAATGCTGACAGGAGGAGAGTTCAGCTTCACTGGAGATGCGCGATCAACAAACTTTAAACTCGAGATTTTAAATTATGCTGCGCTTTATGCATTTGCCCACTGCCATATTCATGTCATTTTCACTGTGTGCTGTATGTAAAATGAGTGTTACCTTGGCTTTATTTGAAAAAATATGATTAATGCACACAAACTTCCCAGAATACTGAGTGCCCTGTTGGTTACAGTGTTTACTTCCTTTTTAATTATATTTTTATTAAATGTTTATTTATATGTGAAAATACTTTGTCATCTAAAGTATAAGTATGTTTATTTAACACATTTATTTTTTTTATCAATTTTCAAATGATTTCAAATTTCTTAAATATGAATTAAAATACATAAAATTATATCGGCCATCGGCCACCCTGCTTTCCAAAATATCGGCATCGGCAGTCAAAAAAACAATATCGGTCGACCACTAATCAGTAATGAGTCAAATGCTTCTAACCTGCATTTTCATAGTAATTTGTTGATTTATAACGTCCTTGTCAGTGCATTTAGGATATCGGTTTCAGAACATACATATTAACCTTTTTTTATGTCAAGGTCAGGCTTGTGTAATCCCTTGCACCATGTTTCAACGTGAAGAGTGGTTAAATCAAATGCACGCCCTTCCATGACAAACTCCTTAGGCACTAGCGCCACCTGGCGTTATGATGCCTCAAGTAAAACAGAAGAAAACCAAACAAGCGATGTAAAAGCTTATACGAGACCCAACTGAACTATAAACTATAACTGAAGCATCTTTCGGAATATTTTATTTATCTAATCCATCGAATAAAATGCTTTATGTTTGCCAAATACTTTATTTGGTCCTCTGTTAGTTTATTTGAATTGAAGTGATGTCGAGTGGCATTCTAAATACGAGTACGAATAGAGTTTTACCTCTAAAAGAGTTTCACCTTTTACATTTTCTTTATTTAATTCATAATTCATAACCCTAACCCTAAAACAAGACATTTGCTTGCTCACTAAAATTGCATTTTAGTATAATGATCAATAGATGGAGCTGTTTTCACATGAAGTATCAGGCAGTCACGGTGGCCGAGAGGTTAAGGCGTTGGACTCGAAATCCAATGGGGTTTCCCCGCACAGGTTCGAATCCTGTTCGTGACGATATTTTAGTTTTGACAAACTACGAATATTACTTTATGTAAGCGTAAAACACACTAAACGTTCGAATAAACTGTTGCATGAATATGTTTAATCACTTTCATTCTTACAAGAAAATGAACATATTCGCCTGTTTCCCAGTTTAATACACTATTATGGGTGAGTTGTTCTATTACGCGTGAGAAAATGTAGCCTGTATAGCTGCCTGGCACAATCAAATAAAACAAGCTGGTCTGAGGTGGCTGACAGTCTCAGTTGGGAGCAAATTGTCTTTTCGAATGGCAAACGCATCAAACGAACATGTGTGTCTGATTAAAGACCTTAAACCTGGATTTAAAAAAAATATTATTTTGGTTTTTATCGTCCTGGAAACTGGCAAGTCAAATTTGCGTGAGAAACACAAATGAACGCGGCCTACACGATTGCTTGCTAGCCTCATTTTTAAAAACGGCAGTTTGTTCACAAACAGTTTGAAGCGTTTATAACGATAAATATCATCTTACAAACCTTGACGCCTTGACTGCTGTTCGTAGCTGAAACAAAAAAGATAAGCCAGGAGTAGCGAATCCGTGAAGGAAGCGGGTTTTTTTTTTTTTAGTTGGACCTTTTCTGTGAATCGTTCACGAATCGGATTGAATCGGCCAGTGCGATTCTCCCGCGGTTCAACTCACTCACAGAGAATGCACCGAAATGGCTCACTTCATTTCGTTCAATATTTGCTGATATTTTTATTTGTAGATTATTTTTCCGCATGTTTCCATGGTATACTGAAAAACAATGATAAGCATATAAAAAGTTAAACGGCTTTTATTGGGGAAAAGAAAAGAAAAAAAAAGTCAATATTTACAGTGTTGACCCTTGTTCTTCATAACCTTCATTGTTTTTGGGCAGAATTATGATAGAGCCCACTCCCTTGGTTGAAAAGCAACCCCACACATGAATGGTCTCAGGATGCTTCACTGTTGGCAAGTCACAGGACTCATGGTAGAGTTCACCTTTTCTTCTCCGAACAAATGATTTTCCAGATGTCCCAAACAGTCGGAAGGGAGCTTCATCAGAGAAAATAACTTTGCACCAGTCTTCTGCTGTCCAATCCTTGTACTTCCTGCAGAATTTCAGTCTGTCCTTGACGTTTTTCTTGGAGAGAAGTGGCTTCTTTGCTGCCCTTCTTGACTCCAGGCCGTTGTCCAAAAGTCTTGGCCTCACTGTGTGTGCAGATGCCCTCACACCAACCTGCTGCCATTCCTGAGCAAGCTCTGCACTGAGCTGACTCCTCAGGAGGAGACGGTCCTGGCGCTTACTGGACACTCTGGGACGTCCTGACTTCTTCACTGCAGTCGAACCTCTCTCCTTGAAGTTCTTGATGATCCAATAAATGGTTCTTTCAGGTGCAGTATACTTTGTAGCAATTTCCTTGCATGTGAGGCCATTTTGATGCAAAGCGCCTTTTTGGAGATAACTATTGCTAACAAGAACACAATGATTGGAAGCACTTCTTCCCTCCTTTTATAGCAATCAGTCTGCTAATTAGTATGACAGTGATTAACCTGACTGGTACTCATTCACACTTTCACATGTGCTGCTGATATGATTAGTCAGTTAATGTTAGCTGGTCATTTTGTGTCAGGATCAAAGACAGTGAAATTAGTTTTTTTGTGAAAAGTACATTTTTTGGCCAATGAAGCTTTTAGCACTTATTTAAAATGCATCTGATCACTCTACACCTGGCATCCTCAAATCTGGCCCACGAGACCCACTTTCCTGCAGAGTTTAGCTCTAACCCTAATCAAACACACCTGAGCATGCTAATCAATGTCTTCAGGATCATTAGAAAATCACAGGTAAGTAAGTTTGTCAGGGTTGGAGCTAAACTCTGCAACGCATTGACCCTCCAGGGCAAGATTTGAGGAACCCTGTTCTACACAATAATCTAGAAACAATGTGAATGAACACCACAACAGCTTAAGCAGCAAACTTTGCAAAATACAAAATTTGTGTCACTGCCAAAACTTTTGGCCATGACTGTATATTAAACTGAGGTGAGAATGACCTCTGGAGTTGGGAAGGTGTAGCTGCATATTTTAAATTAAGGCCCTAAAAACTGAGTTAAAAATAAAAGTTGCAAAAATATTGAATACATCTCTAGAAGTGTTTATGCCAGCTACTGTTGTTTTTCATTATGCAGGGTTTTTTAAGTGGTCTACTGGATTGTGTTCAGTTTGAACTCTTTCTTCCATTTTGCAATTTTGGGTAAGAATAAGAAGTGTTCATATATTTTGCTGACTTGTGTACTTACATTATCCCAAATGTTTCGAAGAATGTTTAAATCCAGAGAAACAAGCAATTTTAACTAGTGACACGGACCGTTGTTTTGTAGAAAACATGGAAACACCAAAGACACTTAAATATGTTATGCGTTTTATTAGACGGGTGATGACCACACAGAGTAGTATTATAACAGAACTTTCAAATGTATCTAATATGATACGGCCTTCCGCCCCACCCTGCTTCATTCTACTACACTAATAAATCATTAGCTCATCTATGAACATGATTTCTGCCCGAGACCCGTCGGATTGCATCGGCTGTGGGGATGAAGACGACAACTCCCATGATTCCACACTCAAGTCACGGTGTCATCAAACTACGCCTTTGTCTAGTTGTTTATTTTGAATACGCGCCCTCTATCGGCGAAAATTACATATTGTGCCTTTAACTACTCATGCAATTCATTCATAAACATACATATTTTTACCATTTAAAATAACTTTTCTATTTTATTATATTTAAAAACGTAATTTATTCCTATGAAGGGAAAGCTGAATTTTCAGCAGTCTTCAGCGTCACATGATCCTTCAGAAATTATTCTAAAATGTATATGCATGAATTATTCAATATCATTACTTTTATCAGTGTTGAAAATAGTGGTGCCACCTTTTGTGGAAAGCTTGATACGTTTTTGTCAGGCAGTTCAAAAAGTAGAACAGCATATCAGTGTCTTTATAAATTAATTGAATGCATCCTAGATGAATAAATATACTAACTAAAAATGTATATATTACTGACAAAGACCAAATGTTGCAGCATTTCTTTTTTACTACATATTTAATAAAATGAAATCTGCAAACACTGACAAACCTATATCTTGTAATATTGGAGAGTGACAATAAAAACAAAACAAAAGGATGCACCTTGTGTTGTGATTCGCTGCCTCCTCCCTGAGTCTCTGCTGACCAATCTCATCTTCCAGAATGGTGAATTCTTTATTATTGTCTACTAGCAGATTCTACACACATGCAAATACAAAACCAAAAAAGTGAGCGAGTAAGGCATTGCTGAAACCCCCCAGCAATGTGGCGAATGTGATATTGCACTGTTAAATAACTTTAAAGCAATTAAAGTTTTAATAACACAAAAGAGGGTACAAACATTTGAGAACGGCTTATCTATTTGCCTAGAATTTCAAACATCGTTTCTACAGCGTTTCTACCTTGACACCTATAATATCTCCATCTTTCAGGTAGAAGGGAGCAGCCTGGAGACTCTCAGCTTTCCTCTTCTTCTTTCTTTTTGAGACCTGTTGAGTCTGGGATTATTCAGAAGTTATTATTCAAGTATACTCAGCTCTCGCCTAAAATATACGGTATTCCCATTTTCACTCTCTTTTCTCACCCAGTTGCAAATGGGCATCCAGGTGTGTTTGTCAGGCAGGTGTTTAGCCAGGAGCAGGTTGTCAGGAGTGAGACCGTACCTGGAGGCCAGAGTAGCGTACAGGCCCCTGGGGGTGCCGTCCCGCCCTGCGTCCCACAAAAACTCCTCAGAAGGATAATACGCCTTCTCTCCTGGCACCCCCATCTGAACCCTCAGCAATAAATCCTTCAGGCTGCACAGATAAAGAGAAAAGAATGATTGGTGTTTTTTTTTAACTGCTAAACACAGTTTCAATCTTCCATGGATTCGATCAATCGCCTCTTTATCTGTATTGCTGTCAGAAAGTCTCACCCCAGGTCCTCCTCGTTCATCAGCCTCTGAACACACACCTCCGCCCCATTGCCCAGCTTCAGCTTCCTACAGGAAAAGAAGTTTAACTTCAACCCTATATACAATGAAAAGTTTCACATGCTTTTTCCACATCAAAGCACCATTCATGAGCATGAAGGAAATCCAAAGCTATCAACCTGAGTGTCTGCTGGTTTCCTCTGAGTATCCTGGACAGTTTCTTGTCCTCTAGCAGCCATACACGCAGAAACGCAGGACTGGGCACACACACATCCTGAAGTGCCGGTAGAGTCATCATCTACAAGAACACAAATGTGTCTTTTCTCAAGGGATGGTGGGTGCAGTGGTTATACTGATCTGATACAGCAGTGCTCATTTCACTTGCACTGTTACACTGCAGCCAAAAGCTTACACTACTGTTCAAAAGTTTGGGGGTTTTGAAAGAGGTCTCTTATGGTCACCAAGGTCATTTGTTTGAACAAAAATAGTAATTTTGTGATTATTACAATTTTAAAGAAAATGTCTGTTTTCAATTTATTCTTGTGATGCAAAGCTGAATTTTCAGCATCATTACTCCAGTCTTCAGTCACATGATCCTTCTGAAATCATTATAATATGCGGATTTGGTGCTTTCTTACTGTTATCAATGTTGAAAACAGTTGTGCTGAATAGAAAATAAAACATTATAGAAATCCTTGCTAAATAAAAGCATTTTTTCCACCAATATATAAATAAATAAATCACACTGACCTCAAACCTTTGAATGGTAGTGTATAGTACTTCTTTCTTCACTAGCTTCTCTACCTTTTCTTTCAATTATTTAATTATTAAATGAGTGATGGGTGATAAGTGTACTCATAAAAGGTGAAGTGTGTAAAATTTTTGATGTTAAAATAGTTTCTCTTATTCCAGTTTAATGTGTAGAGTGCAGTCAAACGATTAATCGCATCCAAAATAAGTTTTTGTTTACATAATATATGTGTGTGTGTACTGTGTATATTTATTATGTATATATAAAGACACACACATGCATGTATGTATTTCAGAAAAATAGGTTGTTTACATATTAAATATATTTACTGTGCCAAAACTGTACTTTAGTGCTGTCAACCGATTAATCGCATATAAAATAAAAGTTTTTGTTTGCATAATGTGTGTGTCCTGTGTATATTTATGTATATATAAATACACACACATGCAGTATATGTTTTGAAAATATTTACATGCATTTACATGTATATATTTATATTCATATAATTTATATTATATATAAATATATTTAATATATAAACAAAATTTTTCTTAAATATATACATGCATGTGTGTGTATTTATATGTACCAGGAGTGGAACTGTTCAACTTACGGTTCGGTTTGTAACACGGTTTTAGAGTCACGGTTTCGGTATGGTTCGTTATGTGCTATGTTTAGGCAAAAACTATACTGTCAAATAAAAAAAAAGAAAATAAGAATAATCTATCTAACTACAAGCAACAGCACAAATAAATACAATAGAGTAAAGATACAAATAAAATAAACTGTGGTTTTCAGGTTTTTTAGGTAGGTCTAACATTAGTTTAAAGGGACAGAAATAGAAAAAAAGTAATGAAATGTAAAACAGCATTTCATATTTGACTGTATAAATTAAAGATGAATCTTTATTAAAGTTGCAAAAGCTATTCAATCAAGAGCAGTGAGTGATTTCTTTGTTGTTGCTGTTTGATTAATATTAAGAAAGTGCTGTCACTTTAAGAGAATGCACTGATCCAGTGCACTGATACAGTACGTTCAGCCGGCTATATGTCTGCTATAAGATACTTACCAAGACGGGCATTTTGACAATTTTTGTGTGAATTTGTCCATTTAAACACAATACTTCAGAGAGAGCTTAATATTTGCGCGCGTTCTGCGCGGGTTTGCGTGCTTCCGATGAGCGCACGCACAAATCTTCTCACTGACTGCGCGTGCGAGCTACGTCCTCTGGCTCTTAAATGTTTAAACTGGTAAAGCTTAAATAAGTTTAGCTTAAACACAGATAACGTGTGTTGTTCAGGTCTCACCTGTGTGTGTGCACTATCAGTACCTGGGTGATGGTATTCCAGCATACGGCATTCTCATTGAACAAGAGTGAATGGTTTGTCCACGTTTTTTTTTTTTTCATCGCTGTTGTTGTAATGTATTGGTAAGCCAGAATGCGCATCCATCAACAGAAACATATATTAGCCTAACCCCGTTTGTTTTACGTGTTATTTATAGCAAACCATATTACAGATGCGTTGTCAGATTTAAGTTGAACCGCGGTCCTAGCGCGGGCCGAACCGTACGGTTCGATTTTTTTCCGCGAACTGTTCCACCCCTAATATGTACATAATAAATATACACAGCACACATACATATATTATGTAAACAAAAACTTTTATTTTGGATGAGATTAATCACGATTAATCGTTTGACATCACTAAATATGCCATTTTGTAGGCTGCCTTTCCGAGTAAACTAAAAGTATAGGGAAATGAACCAAAGACAAGTACAGTAGTGCTGTCATACGATTAATCGCATCCAAATTAAAAGTTTTTGTTTACATGATATACAGTGGGGCAAAAAAGTATTTAGTCAGCCACCAATTGTGCAAGTTCTCCCACTTAAAAAGATGAGAGAGGCCTGTAATTTTCATCATAGGTATACCTCAACTATGAGAGACGAAATTAGAAAAAAAAAATCAGAAAATCACATTGTAGGATTTTTAAAGAATTTATTGGTAAATTCCTCGGTAAAATAAGTATTTGGTCACCTACAAACAAGCAAGATTTCTGGCTCTCACAGACCTGTAACTTCTTCTTTAAGAGGCTCCTCTGTCCTCCACTCGTGACCTGTATTAATGGCATCTGTTTGAACTTGTTATCAGTATAAAAGACACCTGTCCACCACACATTATGCAAACAAAAACTTTTATTTTGTATGCGATTAATCGTGATTAATAGGATAAGAGATACATTTGGATTCAGGAATCATCTGACCATTTATCAAAGAAATTAAAGTCAGTAAATAACAAATACAATATAGATAGATTTTTTAAAAAGACTGTTCCAGTGCAAACGCTGTAAACTTTGTACACTTTGATGCCGTTGTTTGTATATTTTGTGTCATTTAGTGTTATAGTATAAACATACACAATTGGTGATTATCAAAACCAAATTATCACACAAAATCAGGACCTGTGCTGTTAGGATTATGTGGGGAAAGTGTTGGGAAACATTTCTGCAACTACACACTTCACCTTTTAGTTACCATTATCAGTTGAAATCATTAACACTGCGAGTAGTGATTGCCAACCTGAGTCTTGAGATCATCAAGTGAAGCCTCCTCTGATATCTCCACATGACCAATGAATCTCATCTCTGATCCAGACCCCTCTGAAACACCAGGACACACACATATAAACAAGCACAAACCAGAGATATTGCCCAAGCAGTCATGGTCTGACAGAAACAACATGAATCTCACTTGGCTTTCTAGAAAATGTGCTAAAAGTCGAACCTGTGATGAGCCCCTCAATGCTCAGGGACTCTTCTGTGTGATTCAGCTCTGGAACGCTGGAGCTGTCAATCGCGTCTATGTACATCTTCACAGACAGTTTGAGGTAACCCTGAAATTGAGATAAGATGAAAGAAAGCTGTTTGAAAAGTTTCTACATAAGAAATCATCCAAAACTGAAAACGAACCTTTGGAGGCAGTCGCCCCTCCACCAGCACCAGTGTGTCCCCATGATTGACCTTTGCTTCTTTCAGAGATGCATTCTGGGAGACGAGAGCAAACAGGAGTCAAATATTTTAAATCATAGCAAACTGAGAAAGAGATTAGTGGATTAGTATTAATTTTTAGAGATTATTATGTACGATACCTCATCCATAAGTGGCTCTCCGATTTCCTCACACCAGTCCACTCTCCTTAAGTGCCATGACTCACCTAGAGAGAGAAACAGCTTTCATTAATAAATCTGAGAAAGCTTGACGAGTTAAATGTGCCATTAAAAAGCAAACATTTGAATGATTTTACCGTCAAGTTTCGCCATCTGCAGCATTTCCGTAAGGCACTGGAATAAGAGGAACAAGCATTTTTAAACACTTTTTTTTAGAACAGCTAAAATTTCATATAAAATCCAGAGAGTTCACCTCTTTGACGGTTAGAGACTCCTCTACAATAATCTCTAGCTCCTGACCAACTGAGGGCACTACACCAACAATGAAGTACAAGAACAACTGCACAGAGAAAAGATATTTTCTCATTACAGAAAATTTGTGATATGCATTCTGCATCACATTCACACATGCGCAAATTGTATGAACACACCTGTGTTGCTGTTGGCACTGGTCCGGGACACAGGTAGAGTGAAGTCATCAACCTGATCCCTGCATCCCGAACACTCAAATGCTCATGCACTGGAACACACAGAAACCCATTTAGCATGTAAACCTTTAGAGGGATCACATTAGCAGTGATGCTGATGACTGTTTTGAGAAGATACCTGGAGGTAAATGTTTTCCAGTTCTATCCATTTGCCTCAGACAACATTCAACACCTAAACACACAATATAAAAAATATGATTCTGATCTGAACACAAAGGGAGACAAAAGCTCTTCCCTGATGCACATACACTAATTTCTGCTTGCCAATTTTAAAATATCACAAAATTGAAAAGCTTTTTTTCTAGGCAATGCTGATACAGAGAAAAACATCAACATAAAACTTATAAGAAGTTTAAACAGAACAATGTATCAATAAAAAAGGCTAAGTACTATTGAGCATTTCCTTGTTAATGAGCATTGTTGTCTATTACTAGATACTATTGAGTATTATTATATAGTGTTATTACCACTGAGCTCATCCTGTAAGCGAAGTTCCTCAAGAGCTTTTTCCTTCACCTCCGCCAGCAGCTGCAAGAGAGCAAATCAAGACTGCAATCTGAACTGGGTACAACACAGTATTATTGTCAACTAAAATAAAGTAATAAAATTCATTTTCGTGAACTGACACAAAACTGAAATAAAATAAATATTAGATGTACTAAAATTACTAAAACTGAATTAAAAATAAATATAAATGTAAAAACAAAAAACTAATAAAAATGACAAAAGCACATACATTATTAAAACTTAATTATTTCAAAATGATTATTAAATGATTATGATTACAAAATTATTAATGATTATAATAGTTTATAAATAATTCCAAAATAACACAAGTGTGTGTCTGGGTGTGTACATGCATGTTTTCATTCTTACCATGTTCCCTGAAGCTGAGACTTTACTCCTTTTCTTCCCCTGCTCCTCCTCCTCCTCTTCCTCCTTCATTCCACTCTGTGGGCAAAACTCCACCTGCAGCCAGCGGCAGTCTGAGGGCGTTGTCACAGTAACCATGTCACCGCTGAGGCTGAAGATACTGTGGAAAATCATGGTCCTTCCTTATTATATCATGTATACAGTATGTATTTTATTCTCTAGTATCTGTGTTGTGTTACTTTTAAAAGCATCACAGTATTGCATTAATATGTCATCACAACATCAATGTCATAACTTTTATTAATGTAATTACATTAGACAAGTTAAGCCATTTTTAAACAGACACCTGATGTCAAAATATGTAAATTAGACTGTATAAATTGCATTAACTGTACATTAACTGACAGTCACCACTGATAAGCTACTACTAAATATATTGTAGAAACTTAATTTTCTGTAAAGTTGCTTTGCAACGATTTGCATCGTGAAAAGCGCTTTACAAATAAACTTGAATTCAATTAAATTGTGTTAATAATAATAAAACCACAATAGAAAAAAATCACTAGAAAAATTTCTGAATACCTTTTTTATATATTGTGCTCTTTATTTTATTACTGACTGTTCACTTTCAGTTAAATGTTTATTTCAAGGAAAATTATTGTTTTGTTTCGTTCATTTTCCAAACATTTCCATTTTTGGGTGAACTAACCCTTTAAACTTAAATAAGACAACTCTCTTGTGTACGCGCATACGACAGTTAGCGGAAGCTAGAGATTAGGGTTTATAAAGTTTTAAATACGGATATTTTTCTTACAAAAATGCATCAATTCACTTCAGAAGGCCTTTATTAACCCTTTCTAGGATCACTTTCTATGATGGATGGACGCAGTTTTTTGGGCTTCAAAATCTTGACCCCCATTCACTGCCATTATAAAGCTTGGAAGAGCCAGGACATTTTTTTTATATAACTCCAATTGTATTCGTCTGAAAGACGAAAGTCATATATACCTAGGATGGCCTGAGGCTGATTATATCATGGGGTAGTTTTCATTTTTAGGTGAACTATCCCTTTAAATAGTTAAAAGAAGTGTGTTTAATATAAACGTTTGCTGTGTTAAAGGGTTAGTTCACCCAAAAATGAAAATTCTGTCATTAATTACTCACCCTCATGTTGTTTCAAACCCGTAAGACCTTTGTTCATCTTCGGAACACAAATTAAGATATTTTTGATGGAATCTGAGAGCTGTCTGACCCTGCATAGACAGCAATACAACTGAAATGTTCCCAAGTCCAGAAACGTAACAAAGGAGATCTGTAAAATAATCCATGTGACATCAGTGGTTCATCCGCAATTATACAAAGCTACGAGAATACTTTTTGTGCACAAAATACAAAAAAAATTACGACTTTATTCAACAATTCGTCTCCTCCGCATCACCCTGTAGTGCCATTTTGGAGTATCAGTTGGACGTAAACAGTGTATGCTGTTCTGTGTCAGCTGCGTCACACGGATACGCTGTTTTCGTTCAGATCAAATCACAACAATGTAGGAAACAGATCCGGCGTGATGCAGCTGACACTGAACAGCATACGGCGTTTACGTCCAGCGGATACTCTTCAAAATGGCGCTACAGGGTGACGCGGAGCAGACAAAAAAAAATTTTTTTCTTTTGCGTATTCTCGTAGCTTCGTATAATTGTGGATGGACCACTGATGTCACATGAATTATTTTACAGATCTCCTTGCTACGTCTCTTGACTTGGGAACATTTCAGTTGTATTGCTGTCTATGCAGGGTCAGACAGCTCTCAGATTCCATCATAAATATCTTAATTTGTGTTCCGAAGATGAACGAAGGTCTTACGGGTTTGAAACGACATGACATTTTTGGGTGAGCTAAATAATGGTATCGAGTCATGAAATTGCTGCTTTTACCTGCTGTCTAGTTCCTCTGGCTGCAGTAGCAGTAGAGCGTCCCCGTCCTTCAGAGACAGCTCTCTTAGTGTCCTCAGCATGTCTCGAGGTGGGAAAACCCTCCACCCACTCGCCCCGCCCCCATTGGCCCCTGGACGGCTCTGCTCCTGGCACAGAAAGGCCTCTTGAGGCCCTAGAGCCTCGAGCACTGTACCCAGAGTGGCCCCACCAGCAAAGCCCTTCATGGAACACACCAGACCGGATCCATCAGTGTCTTCGACCCCTGACCCATCCCCACATCCCAGCTCCTCCACAGAGGGACGCAACACAGTGAGCAAAACAGGCTCCCATTCCATGCCAGTTTTCACCGCCACACCACTGACCTGAAAGAAAGAGAGGGAAAAGGAAAACATCAATTTGGGTTTAACGATTATAAATTGCAATCCACATACATCTCTTTTCCACCAACGAGGTGTTGATTTCAAAGCCGGTGCCCGATCTGGCTTGTTACATACACAGAAGAAATGGCAGTTTTGAGCCAGAAAAATTGACTTTACCGTTATGCTCTGGAAAAAAGGTGCTAAATTAAATGACTTCGGATGTCTGAATGTTCTCAAAACTAGGAGTAAGATTTATAAACCAAGATCGTGAGGCACTGTGTTTATTTGTGGGCAAGTTACGTAGTATCACAGTCAGTTACATCAGTATCCAACTTATATGTCAGTGGAAACGTGGACCAGTTATGAGAGAGGTTCACAGATGCCTCAAATGAGCACAAGCAGAGCACCGACTACAACACTTTGATAGAAAAGGGATATTATAATTTCTTTTAACAGATGAAGTAGGTGCCCACCTTTCTTCCATTCCACACAAAGAGATCAGAGCCATTAGACACACCCGCACTATACAGGGATATCTGGTCATCTGAAACAACACAAGAGACATAAATAATAATCCAGAATCAATAATTATGTACATTACTGCTGAAAAGGTATAACATTACTGCTTCTTTTTAAAAAAAAAAGTATATTATGTTCACCAAGGCATTTTAATCTAAAACACAACTTTTATGAAATGTTTAAAATAAGTGTTTTCTATTTGAATATAATTTTAAAACGTAATTTATTCTAGTGATAGCAAAGCTGAATTTTCATCAGCCACTTCTACAGTCTTCAATGTCACATGATTATGATTCTAATTGATGATGTGCTGCTTTCTTATTATTTTCAATGTAAAAAATAGTTGTTCTGCTTCATATTTTTGTGATGTTTTTTTCCCCAGGAATTGTTTTATGATGCTTTTTTTTTTTTCATTGAATGGAAAGTTCAAAAGAACAGTATTTATTTGAAGTAGATGATATGATATATGATATATGATATGATATATGACACTGTCTCTTTTGGTCAATTTAATGTCTCTGCTGAATAAATATTAATGTCTTTGAAATAATAATAATTTTAAAAAATCTTACTGACCCCAAGTACTTTCCTTCAGTTACACTATTCTAGCTTTTCAACTATAAAGTAAAATTCTATATTGCAGCACTGCTAACATTATTGGCCTGTATGATAAATTGCTTCAGTAAGATTTGTTACAAATTTTTTTGAAAGTCTCTTATGTTAAGCAAGGCTACATTTATTTGATCAAAAATACAGTAATATTATGAAATACGAATAGAGTTAAAAAAAAACATTTGTTTGAAATATAAATATTACTGCTACTTTTGATCAATTTAATGCATGCTTGCTGAATAAAGTTTTAAAAACTTAATTAAAAAAATAAATAACCTCCTTGGCCCCAAACTTTTGAACATTAGTCTATTACTGTATCTTTGTGAAGAATAGTATACAACGTCAGAACCCCAACCTTGCTGATGGTGCCATACTGTTTTTTATATTTTTTGCTCCATGGCATGCCCGTTTTATTCATCAGCTTTTGGCCCAGCTGGTCTACAAGCACACATTTTGACTCCTCCTGACAAAAAGCAAGTGAAAATCAGCATATGACATTTTATGCCCACAAAATGTAAGAAATATCGATTACAGTTGTCCTGCCTTTCAAAACATAGAATACGCTCATAATTTCCCTTTATTGTGCTGTGAAATTAATAAAATGACATTTTCTTCATTCAGATGGAATTTCATCCTTCTATACATTAAATAACTGCTACAAATCCAAAAGTGTTAATAATATCTACTTATGGTCTTGCATAGCTGTAGAGCTTTATGGTGTAATGGCGTACCTGAGCCAGAATGACTGTAAGAACAGAGAGTGGATCCTCTGTGTCAACAGAATTTTCACTCTCTTTCTTTTTTTCCCCAACTTTGTCCTCTTGTCTCTGGGTTTTCGCCTTCACTTTTACCTCTTCCTCCTGAGAAAAAATTAAATAAAAATCACATCACATAGAGTGGTTACTTGTCACTTTTGGATTGGAGTGGTTAATATCGTACCATACATAGAGACTGCAATAAAAAACAAAAGACTGACCGGTGCCTCCCAGTGGCCGAGCTGATCGATGTCTTTGATGTAGACATGATAATGACCTCCATAACAGCCTCCTTTATGTATGATGACAGAGAAGAGCTCATACGAAGACTCTGAGTCCGGCCAGTTGTTCTGTTGAAACACAGCATTTGTTAATCCCTTGCTTTGAAATTGAGTTGCTGTGGTCATTATAGCTCTCTATCTAGACCTGTGCTTCTAGTTTACTAGTGATGAAAAAGTTAGTCTCTGCTTGAAATAATCTAACAGCTACTAACAGGATGGTAACTCTGAGCTTGCAGTGCATTCTACAATACATGACCAGATATCATACACTGTTCAGTGCAGAATCTCCATCAATAACACAGACTTATCTTACTTGGCTGGAAAGCTTGGAAAATATATTTGTGTGTGATTCGGCTCTGGTACCTGCTCACAAAATGGTCTGAGGTTGAATGTAAGAGGGAAAACGTAGCGCCCAGTCTCTTTGTAGCGCTCACACTTGGCAAAGTCAAAGTTGAACCTCAACAAAGAAATGGTCAGGAATGGTGGAAGTTTTCTCAGTTTAGCAGACTGCAACAAAAGACAAAATTAAGCAGGTTTATAACCAACTACAGTGGATTCATCTGAATGTGTATCTAGAATAATCATTTAGCGCCATTCACTTAAATAGGGATCATATTACATGTGGAATCAAATTTCCTTGATCTATAAAACTGTATCTATAGAATCCTGAAAAACTGCATCATGGATTTCATAAAAATATTAAGCACAACTGTTTCAACAGTGATAAAACAAAATGCCAATGCCAAATCAGCATATTAGAATGATCTCTGAAGATTCATGTGACACTGAAGACTGGGTACGAAGACTCTGAGTCCGGCCAGTTGTTCTGTTAGAAACACAGCATTTGTTAATCCCTTGCTTTGAAATTGAGTTGCTGTGGTCATTATAGCTCTCTATCTAGACCTGTGCTTCTAGTTTACTAGTGATGAAAAAGTTAGTCTCTGCTTGAAATAATCTAACAGCTGCTAACAGGATGGTAACTCTGAGCGTGCAGTGCATTCTACAATACATGACCAGATATCATACACTGTTCAGTGCAGAATGTCCATCAATAACACAGACTTATCTTACTTGGCTGGAAAGCTTGGAAAATATATTTGTGTGTGATTCGGCTCTGGTACCTGCTCACAAAATGGTCTGAGGTTGAATGTAAGAGGGAAAACGTAGCGCCCGGTCTCTTTGTAGCGCTCACACTTGGCAAAGTCAAAGTTGAACCTCAACAAAGAAATGGTCAGGAATGGTGGAAGTTTTCTCAGTTTAGCAGACTGCAACAAAAGACAAAATTAAGCAGGTTTATAACCAACTACAGTGGATTCATCTGAATGTGTATCTAGAATAATCATTTAGTGCCATTCACTTAAATAGGGATCATATTACATGTGGAATCAAATTTCCTTGATCTATAAAACTGTATCTATAGAATCCTGAAAAACTGCATCATGGATTTCATAAAAATATTAAGCACAACTGTTTCAACAGTGATAAAACAAAATGCCAATGCCAAATCAGCATATTAGAATGATCTCTGAAGATTCATGTGACACTGAAGACTGGAGTAATGATGCTGAAAATTCAGCTTTGCATCATAAATTACATATTAAAATATATTAAAATAGAAAACAGTTATTTTAAATTGTATCAATAATTCACAATGCTACTGTTTTTACAATCAAATTAATTAAATGCAGCCTTGGTAAGCATAAAAGACAACTCAAAAACAGGAAAAACAATCTTACAGACCATAAACTTCTAAACAGTAGTATACCTCATTTTGCAAAAATTCTCCATTGTGTAAGGCCTCAAAGGACAAATGAACAGTTTTACTCTTTAGATAAAAAGAGTTTGAGTTCTGAGATGTGACTGACCTTAGCGGCCCTAACCAGCTGATAACATCTGCTGCAGCGGTACAGATTATTACCCTCAAACATCTCCTCCTCCACAAACATGTTCCACAGCGCCTCCTCTAGCCCACTCACACCACGCACTGACACAGTCAGGTCCAGAAAGTCCTCCTGAGACAACAGAAATAAAAGCATTTATTTCAAATTGAAATCTATTGTAACATGATAAATGTCTTTACTGTGACTTTTGGTCAAATGAATGTGTCCTTGCTAATAAAATTATTAATTTCTTTTAAAAAAACACAAAGAAATAAATAAATACCCCAAACGTTTGAACAGTGTATCATAAATAATAAATATGCCGTTTTTGTGCTGGTTATATTTAAAGTTGTCACAGTTGGACTGCTGGAAGCAAAAATAAGTAGAGGAAAAAAAGGGCACATTCTTCTTTCTGACCTGTCTCTCACTGATATTGCCACACTCCTTGCAGGTGATCTGGTTGACAAGCGTCCCATGGTACAGCCGGTGTATGAGACTGCTGCCTGAAGTGCCTACTAAAGAGCTCTCCAGTGCACTGAACAGGATCCGGTTCAGCTCCTGCACATCCTGCTGACCCATTTCCTAAAGACAAAATCAAAACATAAGACCAAAGATTTGAACAAGCTGCTTGATCATTTTAATTTAACTTTAACCAGACACTTTATGTGGAAACTGTTTGATGCGCAAGCCACTGTTTGGTCTACAAGCACACATTTTGACTTCTCAAACCAGAGTAAAGCACTCATTCCTATTTCACATATGAAGGAGGAAAGGGGAATTTCTTAAAGGTGTAGTATCAATGAACAGTTGCTGATTTTGCCTTGAGCAAGATCATTCAGTTACATCATAGATGCTATTACCCAAAGTGACCCATGCGACCCTGAGGAACCATTTAACCCTAGATTACATAGGCATTATCTTCGCAATCAGTCACTGTTAGATGAAAAATACCTGCTAAATGGACAGTAAGTATAGATCACAAGTCTTTGTACCTCATTGTTCGTCCAGCCAAAACTGTCGGTCAGGTCTGTCGTGGAGGCTGTTTGTTCATCCACCAGCAGCAGATGAGAAAACAGTCTCTGAAGCTCCAGAGGAATCACACGGGCCTGAGATCATACAGAACCATAAACATCTATACATCTGGTCTGTATAAAAACGTATAAACCCTTTTATTCATCTCCCACTTACACACATTCATACACACACCTTTGCCTCTGGTTTGTCCTTGTCAGCCAGACATCCTAATTCATCCGGTCCGAGACGGAACAGCTCCTCTGTAAGAAATGATTTTATGTCATAACACCATAAAAAATTCATTCAGCCCAAAACGAAAATTCTGTCATTCTCATGTTGCTCCAACCATGTATGGCTTTGTTTTCTTTTTTCTTGGCCACTCCATCAATATAAAGTGAATGAGGACTTGAGCTGTCAAGCTTCAAACTTAAAAGTAATTAGAAAAGAATAAGTGATTCATATGGCCCTTCAAGTCTTCTGAATTGATCAACATCTTTGTTGGACAAACAAGGCAGAATCGTTATTTAGTGGAAATCTTAGCAGCTAACAGAAAGCTGAAACTGATTCCTGAACAAATCATTCGTTTGGATCGATCGATTCATTGAACTCGAGCATCGAGCCCAAACAACCTTTTACAAACCAACTGCAAATGTTATCATGAAAGTGTAATCTACAAATGACTAAATATCATTTAAGATAACATGTATGTGTAACTTGTGTTCTTTCAACAGTTTGTAGTCTGTTTTGTGTGTTTCTGGGCATGAATGTTACTAATTTTTCCAGTACACACACACACACACAGTCTGGTCAGCTATACTTGTGGGGACTCTCCATAGGCGTAATGGTTTTTATACTGTACAGACCGTATATTCTATTGCCCTACACCAACCCTACCCCTAAACCTACCCCTCACAGGAGACTTTCTGCTATTTCAGATTTTCAATACACTCCATTCTGTGTGATTTATAAGCGTTTTGAAAAGTGGGGACATGGAGTAATGTCCTGAAAAGTCACCTTCTCCTTGTAATACCTGTCATACCTTTGTCATTATACAAATTTATGTCCTCATTTGTCACAAAAACGCGTACACACACACACACACACACACACCTGTGTTTTACATTAAAACTTATCTTAAATTATAAAACCCACCCGAGAAATGTTAACCATTTTAGACACGGGTTCATGCGTTCAGCAGATAAACGAACCATCGACATTTCGCAAATATATAACATAAGGAGCGATTTCAAAGTCACGTGACTTCCCTAGCTCCGACTAATTGATTCGAAACAAAAGATTCATAAAAGTTCGAAGCTTCATTATGAATTAGAGAGGCCAGAATGCTATTGAGAGATAAGTAAATAATGACAAAATGTGGATTTTAGACATACTAATGATCTGATTTATTTTCAGCCCATCTTACCTCTAAACTCTGGTGTGAATAGCAGAGTCTGGATCAGGGAGTTGAGGTAACAGGTGCCCCCCTGATTCTTGATCCCGCAGAGTTTGACTTTCCCTCTGGGTGGTGGAGGCTCACACTCTCTCCCCTTCACACCTGTGCCAGGTGTAGAGGAAGAAAAACCATCCCCGTCCTCCTCAAACAGATCTCCAAACATGACCGCGGCTGCCTTGTAAAGCTATTGGCAAACCTCCTGTTCTTTAGTGAACCGAGTTTCGTTTACTGTGAAAGGAAAGCGTTTCACCTCTTGCTATCTCATCTTGGTCTTCCCCAGCTCCCGATTAACAATCAATGGGCTCACCCTGGAATACGACGATTTTACAGGACTAAACATCGCTTTCTAAACCAAAAGAAGAACTGAATGCTCTTTTTGTCTAAGTGTCGTTCCTCTGGATGAATCACGGGTGTCGTGAGTAAATCTGAGAGGTGACTGCACTGCTTCCATATTTCACCATTGAGATTGAAAAAAAAAA